TTCATCGTTGAAAAGCACTTTTCGCTTTCAAATAACAGTGCACGGTGAGTAAGTAGTTGTTAAATATCAAAATTTGTACAAATAATAGCGATATCCAATGGCAAGTTTTTTAAATATCTCGCGCACCCTGTATGATAGACGAAACCTAAAACTATATCTCCACACAGTTTACGTTTACGACACTGTTTAAAACAAACTATCTTATCTTTTTTCGTTTTTCATTTACACAAAATAATTTACCCAAAGAAATGGAATTTTTCTGCATTTCTTAGATATTTTTGTCCATAAACGAAACATCTTGCATATAATTTTTAAAAAGTTCGAACTAAAGGTTATATCCCTGAATCTTCCACGTTTCCTGGGCGATCAATTTTGCCATTGGAGTAAATGGGTTTCGAGAAAATAATTCTTTTTTGAACTCCGTAATACAGCGTATGTGACGAAAACCATAAATACGAAAATTGTAGCCCTCGATGTGGCCTATAATACTATTTACACCAATCAGCCATATTTTTTTTACGAATATGGATTTATTCCCGAAGAGAGCGATTTTCACGGTCTTTCAAATTTGTGACTCGCGGATGTTCCACATCGGGTTAATAGTTTTCCGGAAGCCAAAATAATACAAAACAATTTTTCAAAAATTTTAAAAAATATTTGTGGGTACGTACTTTTGTTTCCCTTTTAAATTTGATGTTGTAGGCTGCGAATTTGGGACATCTACTATATATTTTAATATAGAACAACCCGTACAATACGTAAAATCCCTAAATACAAAAGTTTTCTAGTTCTGATCAACAACCATTAATAGGGAACCCCAATTTTCAATTTTTGGCAAATACCGGCCACACATGAAATATAAAAAGTTATAGAATTTGATGTTTTGGATCTTTTTGGTCGCGTAAGCCGTATTCGAAAATTTACTTGCCAAATTTGAAAATGATAAATTCAAATTTTGGACGCTTATCGTGTTTCATAGCAATGTCCAAAGGAACAGAGAACGGACAGACAACAAATATGTTTTTTTCGACTCTGATAGTTTCTGTACCAATGGGACCTGTATACACAAAAAATTAGAAGTTAAGGAAGCTAAATAACACTGTCCAAGTTTTTCATTTAACTTTCACTAGTAAATTCTGAATTCTGATGGCGTAGGAAATCTCATTTCGAACGCATACGAGTATATGGAACAATTAATTAAATTTATCTTTAGTAAGTGGTAAATAAGTTCGCTAATAAAAATGAATAATGTCTTTCGCCCCTTCTAAACGGCGAATATTTGATTTATCAAGGGTGGCCGCTATCGCGTTTGACTAAATGAATCAATAAATGAAGAATCAAAATTCCCGTTTCGTGTGGTTAATAAACTAAGAACATTTCCGTGGAATATTAAACCCACACTTCGTTTAACATGAAAATTAAGTGGGTAGCGGTTTTTTTTATTTTATTTCCCGAATTCATCTAACGCTAGTTTCACAAAACGTCATAAATTTCTGATTTAACGTGGCCAGTTTTGCGTTTTTATTACACGAATTCTCAGCGGCTAAGGTCGCACCGTCGTAGTAGCTGGAACAGCTTTAATCGAGAATGTTGACTTTTAACCTTGAAAATACCGCTAGTGTACGCGACAGAGCCGTCACACTGTCGGAAAAGTGAGCAACATATGAACGATTCGAGAGATCGTTCAAACTTTGAACGGTTTTTAAATAAATTCAACCACATTTTCATTGTGCAATCTTACCATCCCTATGTATATATTTTTTTAAATAATTTAATTAATTTCAGAAGCTATGTCCATTCATGGTGGAGTAAAAAAGCCTGTAAAAGCCGCTTAGTTCTTGAAAAAAAAATGTTTTGGTACCACATGCTGAATATATTATGAAAAGCCGATGATTAGGAGAATCAAGAAAGTATAGACGTAAGTTTAGTGAACTAACGTTTTTATTTCCTAATTTTTGAACAGGCAAAATATATATTGTTTCCAGCAGTCTTCGTCCATGTTGCTACAAAATTTGCAATTACATATTTCGTAGCACTTCAAGCATTGCGCTACACATTTGCATTTATTGCTGTCGCAGCTAGCATCAGAACATTGCAAAACCAAATTGTTTCTGATTTGTCGAAAATATTGGTGTCCAGGTATTGATCTAATTGATTCATCCATAAGGCACTGCAATACCGTTGATCAATGCATCGATAATAATTTTAAAAAAGTATCATAGGACTGAATTGGTATATACTTACGTTTCATTATAAATCGTCTACCTATTTAAGTGTTGAAATGCATTATCAGTTGGTGGCAGTTCTATCGGTAAATTAGACAGATAATTAAAAACTCAATATTCTTGACTAGTATGTCAAAGGCTATCTTCTTGCCAATTTCGAGAAATGCACTTGTTTTTTGGGACTATTTTTCTATTTCCAACCGCTATTTAATATTAGAGTTTTTTATAGGAGCCGTTTGTAAGTAAGTAGATAGACTTTTTTCGATTACTTATGTGGCTACTTTTAGTTGTTTGGGAACATCCTCCAAATCGAATGGATTGCACCAATTATTTACATTTCCTTCATCATCCATTGAAATAATGCTCATGGGTTTTGGGAAAAATATCTATATTAACAGCGGGCTTTCACTTACGATCCAAAAAATTCTATTTCAAACACCATTATAGATAAAAGACTGCGTTTTTTTTTTTGAATGTATATATATATATATATATATATATATATATATATATATATATATATATATATATATATATATATATATATATATATGCCATTCATTATGCTCCCATGTCCAATACCTGAGCATGATGATAATAATAAAAAAAAGCTCTACCAACATATTACGTAAAAACAGTTAATAATAAACCGTCTTCTTTTATTTGAATGAATCGGAATGATCGTTTACAATCGAGTTGCGGTTTTTTCTACTGTGACCGGCGGTAAATCAGTGTTTACATTGTTCGGTAAACATTTCACCTGAACCAGAACATCACCGTTTTATGGCAAACAATAGATTTTTGTATTGACGACGGTCTGCAGTGGCGACATTTTTTCCTGCAATTTGTCGTATGCGAACGCTGCTAAATGCAGCGTGTAAACAACTTGCCGCTTTCTTGTTTTCGCTAATTGATTTCGTCAGTTCTTAGAGAACGATACACATAACTTAATTGTGTATTTTCCTGTTTGCAGGATTCACTCAAAAGTGTGTGACGGGTGTACAGGGTGAGTCGACGAAAGCTAAACTTAATTTAAAACAAAGTAAACAAGATGGCTCAAGTGAAACATATTTTTTTACATGGACTACCCTATTTTAAAATTTTGTTTTGAATTCCTTTTAATATTCCTCTAGTCTTTTTTTATTAATAGTACATATGTACCGAAACCTGCCAAATAACTTAAATGGCACGTACATACATATCATTGTTTTTCCTGAAAGCTCTTGCAAAAACCTACAACTTTTATGACGTATATCACATCTTTAATATTTTGCGATTCATTTTAACCCTCCCAATATTTACGCTTCTTTCTGTCTAAGACTATTGCTGTGACGTGAGTTAGCAATGATAGAATGATATTGCCAATTTTTTTTCCAACATATGATTTACATACTGGTTAAGGCGGAAAAAATATACTTTAAAATATAATAGAATTTACTAACCATTCAGATAAGTTATACAACAGCAAACGGTACGTCCAAAATAACAAAGCATTGATATGGAGAAGTAACTAAGAACTATCGTTTACAAATCTAATATTGACAATACGGAAAATACGAAAGTTCGTTATAGCATATTAGGGCTAAGCATTCAACAGCTTCAAGTATTCATTAGTGTTATAAACGATATTCTGAATAAAAAAGTCTGTTAAGGTCTTTTCGGTAACGTTCCCAAAATAGAGCTAATAACAATAGGCCTCAAGAGACATCGATTCACGATTAGACAAGATACCCTGTCGAGTCGAACCTTATAAAATTAAAATTAAAAAGGCTCAAAATGGCCTTGCGAACACTATATTAGCTAATAGTTATATAGTTCAAAGTATCCAATCTTAACAAATATGCACAAATTGAATAGAAGAGATATCGATACACGATTAGACAAGAAACCCGGATGTCAACTTGGAGCTTTGTCAACCAATTTCATGCTTTAGAGAATTAGGTGAGTGGAGTTCTCAATTTATAATAAAAAAGGCTCAAAATACTATAACTATATTAGCTAATAGTTATATGATTTAAATTACTATTAAGAAGATTCTTTACATTTTAACAATGTTACGTTACCTCTTTGAAAAATGTGCTGATTTGAATAGAGGAGGTATCGATAAACGGTTACATAAGAAACCCTATCGCTTAGTTGCGACTACAAGCAGTATTAATTTCTTGCCGATATTTTGGTCGGTATTTTCAATGGTCTATGATGTCCGATTTTTTATAGTACTATGTACAGTACCAAACCATGACAAAAATTTTAAGGTTACGACACCATCACCAATGTTATCCCCAATTTGAATTGCAAAGATATCGATGGATGAATAGACAAGAAACCCGTCTGACAACTCGAGCCTTGTACAACCATTTCATGCTATAGAACCATGAAAAAAATGTCGAAAAGGATCCATTCAATATTGTTATTCAACTAAAAAGGTCTCTAATAATGTTACGTTTCCTTTTTGAAAGATTTGCTCGATTCGAATAGAAGAGATATCGATACACGATTACGCAAGAAACTCTTCTTGTTTTGGATAAAATATATCTATAAAAACAACTTTAGTGTATTCCATAATTCAGTAGGTATTTTGAATATTTTGTGATGTCCGTTTCTTTTATCAACACGACAGTGAAACAGGGTTTCTATTTAAATATGAAATTGTTAAATTTCAAAAAATAGCCTGTTACTGGGCAAGAATCTTCATGTTAGCAACAACTCTGGCATCTTTGCATTTCGCGTTTGGTATTTGGGATTTTTAGAAATAAATTAAAATTATTTATTTACCTGACTGCCGCACAGTAGTGGAGACTTTCGATCGGGAAAAACCGCGTCACCTTTTTGTGATTTTCGTCTACATTCTCCAATAGAATGCCGTTGGACCACACGCTCAACCAACTGTCAATGCCTTTAGCGCCCATCGCTCCCTAAAACAGAAAATTAATGTAAAAAAATTAAATCTTCCATCCACCTGTAACTTTATTTGAAAATTACAATCTTCATTAAATTATGCGGCAACTATAGTTTCACTCATAAACTAATAAAAATTTGTGTCTATATTTGAATATATAGTCCCCAATTTATTAACTACATTAAGAGTTCTAAGTAGCGGTTCCCTTTTTTAAATCCTTTATCTTCATTACATTTTCTGGAGATTTTTTTTCTTTCGATTTTACATGTATTTTAAATAGTTTTATCCATAAATTAATAGAAATTTGTATCTATATTGGAGTATATAGTATACATTTAAATAAATAGTGCGTAATTTATTAACTACATCAAGAGTTCTATATAGCGGTTCGTTTTTTAAAATACTTTATCTTCATTACTTTTTCTGGTGCGTGTTTTCCATTTTTCTTACTTTTTGTTTTATCTTCCGATTTTACAGGTATTTTCCATGGTTTTTATAATATATAATATAAATATATATAATATAAATTAATAGAAATTTGTATCTATCCTTGAATACATAGTGCGCGAATTATTAACTACATTAAGAGTTCCATATAGTGGGTCCCTTTTTTAAATTCTTTATTTTCATTTCTTTTTCTGGTGGGTATTTTTTTTTTTCGATGTTACAGGCATTATCCTTAGTTTCAGTAATAAATTATTATGAATTTGTATCTACATTTAAATAAATAGTGCGCAATTTATTAACTACATCAAGAGTTCTATATAGCGGTTCGTTTTTTAAAAATACTTTATCTTAATTACTTTTTCTGGTGCCTGTTTTTCATGTTTTTTTCTTTTTGCGTTATCTTCCGATTTTACAGGTATTTTCCATGATTTGTATAATATATAATATAAATATATATAATATAAATTAATAGAAATTTGTATCTATATTTGAATATATAGTTCGCGAATTATTAACTACATTAAGAGTTCCACATAGTGGGTCCCTTTTTTAAATTCTCTATTTTCATTATTTTTTCTGGTGCGTATTTTTCTTTCGATGTTACAGGTATTTTCCTTAGTTTCAGTAATAAATTATGAATTTGTATCTACATTTAAATAAATAGCGCGCAATTTATTAACTACAATTAGAGTTCTATATAGCGGTTCGTTTTTTAAAATACTTTATCTTCATTACTTTTTCTGATGCGTGTTTTTCATGTTTTTTTCTTTTTGCGTTATCTTCCGATTCTACAGGTATTTTCCATAGTTTGTATAATAAATTAATATAGATTTGTATGTAGATGTGAATAAACAGTAATTTGTTGACTACATTAAGGGTTTTATATTCAGTTCAGTAGAGGAACTAGATTACGCCAGCTCTCTGATTGGTTTCCCATGTTGTAAAACGCCGTGAATAAGTGTGTTGTTACCTTTTTTTAAAATAAATTATTTAATTTTTGTTATTGTTTTTATTAAACCCTTCACCCTGCAACTGGGTGTTATTAATATTTCGTTCTGGGAAAGAATTCATAGAATGTTTACCTGATCCGGGTATAACTCTTGCAGAGGTTCCTGTATCCCTTGAAGGCCGTCTTTTGTCTGGTGCGGTACCGCCGAACCCAAGTAGAGTACGCGGCACCTGCATATCGGGGTGGATTCCGACATTTTCTGTTGCTATTCCCTCGAAACTCGAGCACACTTCAGACCTTTGCCTCCTTTACTTTTTATCACGTCATAGCCGGGCGTTGAACCGAATGTCACCCGATGCCCTGTTGTAAAGCGCTGCAAGAAATAAAAAAAAAACGCTATAGAATCTAACGAAAGCGAATAAGTTATTGCGTAAAAAGGCAGACGACAATTAAAAAATATACGCTACTCTCTCTGCTTATTTAGAATCGAAAGCTTTATTCCGTGTACATTGTTTTTGCGTTCGTACATGTTGTTTCGAGTAGCGTCGCACTTTTGCAACAAAACGTATCGATTATGATAAGTATTATATATTTTTTCAGTAAATAGAACTTTTTTTGAATTTTTATAATATTTTGAATTTGAATTTTACATACACAGATATCATAGTTAAAAAATACGAAACTTAGGGTGCAATGATTAGTTATTGCCGCATTTGGGACATAATATGCCCGATAAACTATATAGGTTGAATCAATTTTAGAGTTAAGGTATTATCTGATTAGATTCAGAAGTCATATAAAAATATACTTTTTTAAAAATTTATTAATGCATACCCAAAAAAACTAGTTTTTGAATAAACTGCTACAAAGTGTTCAAAATAAAGGTTGTTAAATTGAAAAATCTCGATCTTGCAGAGAACTACAATTTTTATTAAATAACTTTTCCAGTAGTTACCCAAATGTTAAATCATTATCAATACAATTACAATTAAATATTAACTATAAACATGAGCGATCTATCTACCTTCAAAAATAAGAGCTACTATTCCGTTTAAAAAATATATGTTTTATTCGTCAAACTTTTTTGAGCCATCCTGTATACTTTTGTGCAATAGTCGGCTGCTGTTTTTAAAATTGCTTTCAGTATCAACGCAAAATACGACTAATATAAACAAAAAATTTATTATCTATTCATTTAATTGTTCAATATCACATCGATGAAGTTTATGGCGTTTGCGGAGGGATGTAGAAGCTTAGCCCTCTAAAAGTGACATATTTTTTGTATCACATCTTTCGTTATACAATATCAGTATAGTTAACCACTGATTTATTCGATAGTATATGCTTTGTACAGCTATGTACACACATGTACACACACTTAGAAGAAAATTACATAGGTTAAAATGACAATTTTTCTATTTTCAGTGTATTTATCGTTTTTCCCAAAAATCCCATACATTTTCTATATTATAATTGCATCTTATTTGCACTCACTACCCTAATAAATTTCATAGTTAGATGTTTGCGATAAATATAAAGTTACTTGTCAAAAGGGCGTTCAGAATACAAATTTGTTATTCAATACATAACTTATATAATTGCAATTCCTTCTGTGGGCCCCAGGATATTATTTCCGGTAACATTATGATAATGCGGCAGCGCTTTGCTTCTAAATTTATTACCGGCCTCACATTTTATGTGAATATGTACAGAGGGTGTGAGTACGTACAGGGTGTCTGAAATAATGCTCCTAACTGAAAAACTACGATCGATAGAAAAAAAGTTATATGGTTTCATACAGATTTTGTAATTTTTAATTTTTATAAATTAAATAGTGTTTCAGAGAAAAATGTCAAATATAAAAGTTATAGATGAGGCAAAAAAAAAACAATTAAAAATATAGGAAATCAAAATAATATATTTTTAAATGGAACACCCTGTATATTACGCCATAATATACTCTCTTTTATACTCATTCACCCAATGTTCGGATTTATTTAGTTTTTAAAATTTAAACACTTAAAATTACACAAAAATTAATATTTTTCATTTTGAGTCCGCTGTATAAACGATTCGACAAGTACAGGTATTAAACACAGGGAATTTTTGACGAAAAAATGGCGGTAAGTCCAGAAATGCTCCGTATAGAATATAACAACCCTTCATTGGGTGAATGAGTATAAAATGAAGTATATACTAATGTCATAATATACAGAGCGTTCTATTTTAAAAAATAAAGTTTGTCTTTTCACATTTCGTTCCCGAATTGATATTCTAGTTAATGTCGATTATCGTCACCTTGGTAGTACGATTGTTATTGTTTATTATATGAACAATTATACGCCTCACACTGTTCGAAGAGTTTCTTTTTTAATCTACGAAAATATAAAATTATTCTAGGCTTGATAATGATAATCTTTTTATCAGTAAACAACTCACAAAACGAATATAACATAACCTTAAATACAATATTAATTCGTCTTATCATATTCAAAAATTTTGAATTTCTGTCAGAATACTGCGTCATATGCATTAAAAATTAATATGAAAATTGTCATCAACGTAGAGTTCCCGTAATTTTAGTTAAATGGAACTGCAATAATGCAGAATCCCTAGCCGATCCTGATGTTTGTTCATAAAAAAAGTGTTTGTTTTTTTCAATCGTAACGCTCTTGACAAACTCATTCGTCTTTTCACCCACAAATTATACAAAATCAAACCGAAAATCAGATGGTGTCGACGCACTTTAAGTCACGAATCCGATGATTTCAAGAATTATCCGCAGAAACAACGAAAAATCACCAAAGCACACAAAAATTAAGCCAACGTAACGGGAGCTTTTTTGCATTTTTTGATTATCTCGAAATCTCTCCTAATTCGATGACGCCACAGTTGGCACTTTTTTTTCATCCTTTCATAACAATACCAGTATTCTGCCGATTGTGAGCGAAAGACAATGGAATAATTAACGAACCGTTTTCGCATATTGCCGATTCATAGAGACAGATAGCTGTATAGCTGTATGCAATTGTATATATGTAGGTATCGTTCACAATATTCAACATAAGAATCGGTGAAGTATTATGAGGTCAGTACACGGGTGAAAAGTTATTAAATTGGACAAACCATATTCATTGCAGCTTGAGTCTTTTCATTTTCAATTTCAGAAGTTTTTTCTGCAATTACGTCTTTTTTAAAGTATCATTTGAAACTTTTATCAATTTAATTAACTTATTGATTGATTGATTAATCAATCTGATACTACAGCCGGTGAACAATGTTTTCGTTTCTAAAATGACAATAACCTGGTTAAGATATTTAGATTCCCTCATTCTGTTGCAATTTATATAGGGTATCTTAATGTTAGTAGGTCAAACTCAAAGTTTGGTATTTATCATTATCTGACACAGTTATTTCAGTTCTGAAATATCTATTGACAGCTGTCGAATTTTGAAAAACGTTTTTTTATATATATGGGCAAGAATTATAACTGATTTGCGATTGTCAATTTCATCTATGTAAGTCTGGTAACTGAGATTGAATGTGTATTGACTTATCTAACAATAGGTACACTTGCACTTGCACTTTTTCGAATAGATCTTCATGAACTACGTAATAGCGTGACCAAATAATAGAACATTTGTACCGTGTTAAATTTATTAAATTTGAATGAATTTCTGATTATAAATCCCAACATTCCAGTGTCACTCCAAAGCCTATATCATCATATTGTTTTATCACAGTGGATTTAAACAAATCGATAAATGTTTTTAAGCTATTTGAAAACAAGCGGATATTAAGATATATAATATATAATAATAATAATAACATTCAGGTTGAGTCAAGCTCTGAAGAAGCCAACAGGATGATTGGTGAAACGTCAGCAATTTCGACTCAGCAAAAACCGACGCAGGAGGAATCCAGAAGTTTTGTAAAAGGTAATAACGTTTATTTTCAAAAATTCAATTTCATAATAGTGCAACATAGAGCCCCAGAAAGGACAGATTAGTGTTCTATGGCACGGATATAAATTTGAACCTTTCAAGCCAATAATATCATTTAAAACCCTGTCGATAAGTCGTAAATATCCACTGTTTTGTTTTATAATTAAATTGGTTAAAATTCTGTTTTTCTTGAATGTTGTACAGTATGGGCATATAATATTAAATTATAATATTTACTATTATAATTAATTATTTAATAATTTAATAAATCATAAATATTTAATGTTATGATAATATTAAATTATAATTATTACTTAATAATTAAATAATTAATTATAGTATTAATTATTATAATTTATTATTTAAAATTAAATAAATATTTAATGTTATAATAATATTAAATTATAATTATTATTAATCATTTGGGATTTTATTAGAATCTGCAATGTTTTAGCAAAGACTGATGACGTTTATATTGGCCTATAATTAACTATTTCGTCTGTTTCCGCTTTTGCATAAAGATTTATAATTCCTTTTTTGAGACACTTGGAAAACATAATTTAACCATCGTCACCTCAACCAATAGTTATTATATTATCGCAGAGACTCAACTCTGGGACGCGATGAAAATAAAAATGCATTTTCCATTTTAAATTTATTGTCCGGTCCCTTGTTTGTGTAGGATCGTTTGAAAAGCTGCGCATTTTTATGTGTGTTAATGTACCTGCCTCGCATGCCGATCATGTTTCAAACATACTAAACTGGTAATGGTTCTCTTTCGATAGAAAAAAACCTGAATTTCAAGGTAACACCATTGATGCCTATATATATTTTGTCTGAAGCATAAGCAATTTTTAACATACATACATTACATATTATTTGCCAGTGGAACAAACCCTTTCGGTATTTTAGTCACGACTTTGTATCTTTCTTTTTATATTTTTTTTCTCGACAGAAGTCTTTAACGAACACTTTTTAAATAATTTAATGAGAGTGAAAGCATTTTGGCTAGTTTAACTCCGAATTTAAAAGAAAAGCCACTTAAACTAAGGTAACATATTTTTTTTTAACCAAAGTGCTGTTGCAGCAATTCTGAAGATCACTTTCGGTCTTGTTCCGGCCTAACGGAAACAAGGGGTTCTTGAATTACATTCAAATCGGGGTTTCCTTCAAAGATGGTTCTTCAGAAGTGGGATTATTGATGACAATATCCAGCTCAGTTAATGAAGTGTTCTTTCCTCTCTTCAGAACAGATTTCTTTTCCCTCTCTTTAATACTCTGTAATACCGTAATATTTTATATTTTATTTAATTTCACTTTGAAGATAATGAAATATAAAAAATTAATCCTAGTTCATTATGATCGGCTAATAATAACTACGAACTGCACAGACTTTGGGCTACAGCTTGTACAATTTCACTTTTGCCGC